AAGCATTTACGAGCGGGTTGCGAGTGATAATGGTTAAACATGAGTTGTGGAGGCATTAAGTAGGATTCGATGGAGGAATGAACTAAATCTCTGAAGAACTTGACACAAAAAGGAATCGGTGGCAATTTTCAAGCGCTTCAGCCAGTGTGCAACAGCCCGGTTCCCGCTGGGTTTCACGCCAGGGATATAAATGCAATCCTGCTACTTACCTGGGCTCCTCGGGCCTATCAATTACGCTGCTCCCTCCGAGCTGCTGTTGCGACTTTAGGTATTACTGTCCTCCGCAAAAGCAGCGCGGAGTGCGGCACTGGTTACCGCAGCCCTGATCTCTGCATGCCCGGGCACCTGTCAGTGCTATTGCTCGGGCTACGACTCCCAGTTTTAGCCGGGATCAAGGGGAAGTGAGCTCACAGAAACTTGGTGTTAATGAATGCCAGAAAATCAGACCCTTCTTCTTCTGCAAATGTTTGGCTAATGCCCTTTCAGCCTGCAGATGGTACCAGTGTTGTGTCTGTGTGGTGGCGTTTTCCCTTTTTTTGGGGTATTTTGAATCCTTAATCCCTCGGATTATTGAATGTATCTACTCGTGTGTGTGCGGTGGGGTTTTTTTGGAGAGTTTACAAATAAAGACTCCTGATGCCCGTTCTTACTGAACAAGCATTTCTACAAGTGCCTTGCTCACACCTAGGGAGTCCCATTCCAGTCTTCCTCAGGCTTGTACGAACACACAGCTGTCCCACTGCCTCAGCACCTTTGCAGGCTGGAAGCTTACAGGCTCTTCTACCTGGCTGTCACTACCCATCTCTTTATATTTTCGTGTTATAATCATGTTGATGCTGCTCCTAATGAGGCCTTGAATGACACTTTATAATTACAATTCCCAAGCACACGGAAGCACTTGTTGCTGACAAATCTCTGGAGAACAGATGCTGCGACACTGTCCCGTCGGTGGGTTTGTTACCCTGCTGCGCGTGGCAGTTCTGCAACGTGGGCGTTGGGAAGAAGCCCGTGCAGTGCCCTCCCCCTCGGTAGCTGAGATTGGCCAGTAGATGATGGGAGTGCTAATTAATCTGGTCTGTGGGGAAAATGATCAATACCTGGGGAACACCAGTGTAGGAGCAACAGAGTGTGGACAAGTAACATCCCGTGTGGCTTGTAGCCAATGTCTGGGGTTACACTTAAAGATGCTGGCTGCAGGCACTTTGTCAGAAATCCACATGTAGCAAGTGGAAATCCAACATAATCTGGAAATAACCAGCTAAATGGAGCCTCAGGAGGAAACCCACCACCCTCCCCAGGTGTTAGACCTCTCCTTGCACAGGTCTGTCAAGGCTGGCACATCCTAATGGCCAGAAAATGGGCCCTTTACCAGCATCCCCTTGCCCACAGGGCTTTACCGGGGGTGTGTTTGAGAGCATGGTTGTGGCAGTGAGGTGGAAGGATGGACACAGCTCTGGGGCAGGGACGTGGGGCAGCCAGTGAGGCTCTCCGCTTCCTCGGGGGGAGCAGCGCCTCGGGCTCAGCGCTGCCTGCAGGCAATGCAGCACGCTAATGGCGAGGGCCACTTTTAGTACACAGGCAGCTTCCAGGTGCTTTAAGATTAATAAATCTAAAATTAGATTATTATTCTAAACCATTTTTCTAAAACAGTCTTAAACCATTAGAACTATTATTTGTTCTTAATTATCCTAAAGTTTAAATGCTGATGATGAAACGGACAGTGGAGGCCCCAGTCTCTGTTGCAGGATTGAGTAGCACTGAATTTGCCAAAATGCTAAATCCAGACTTCCAAAAAGCTGCCATCCAGAAAGGAGCCAAAGGAACTTGTTACTGAATCCCAAACTGATTGTGAGGCATGGAGGGCTGATCCCAGCGGAATGTAACGTGAGACTGGAAGCCTGACCTGTCCATCAGTGCACTAATTGTCTGGGGGACATGTCCACGCTCTTGCTAGCAAATAGTCTGCCCTTCCCGGACTGCTGCAGGAGAGGAAAGGTTATACAAATGTTGTTCGCTGCTCCCAATTTCAGGATTAAAGAAAGGCACTCCAGGAAACAAGAATTCAAAAAGGCAGATGGGCTACAGCGTGTTATGAACTCCTCCTCTCTGGGGGGTGGGAAAATGACCCCAAACTTCTATTTTTGCCTTGTCCTTCTCCAGGGCGCAGCACCGCTTCTGCCAACAGCTAATTGCGGCTCTAACCCGCCCGGCGACCCGACGGTGAGCGTGGCAGAATTACACCGGCGTGATGAGCCAGGGAGGATGGCAGGCTGTGAAATCGGAGGGAGCATCTGAGGTTGCACAGTTTGGCGCACCCCAAGAAGAGCACCGCGGTGAATTTTCTACTGGGGCACGAGGCAGTTGACTGAAGTAGGGGAGAGCAGGACTGAAACTGAATCGTGAAGCATTTTGTGGCCACCAGCGTTTTAACCTTTGAAAGTACAGAAACAGGTGGAGAGGTTGTCCATTTTAACCAGTTTTCAGAGATCTATAATGGACCTAACAGTAAAAGCACGAGCTGTAAACGCATCTCTGAAATTTTGCCACTCGTGGCCTTCCCACAGTGTAATTGATCTTTCTGCAAATGAGCTTGCACATGTAGCCCCAACAAGCAAAATGCTAGGGAGATTCCCAGAGCGATGTCCTGGCTGCAGTGCATGTGTTGGCGGGAATGTCCTCTCGGGTACTACTTGTTGTGGGTGTAACCCATTTTGCCACTCGTGGCCTTCCCACAGCATAATTGATTTTTTTCTGCGAATGAGCTTGCATGTGTAGCCCTAAAAAGCGAAACGCTAGGGAGATTCCCAGAGTGATGTCCTGGCTGCAGCGCACACGTTGGCGGGAATGTCCTCTTGGGTACTTCTTGTTGTGGGTGTAACCCGCTGCGTTGCTCTTTCGACTCTTGAATACAAGCCACACTCCGCTCGGGCTGCCCCGCGTGGCTGAGTTCAAGCTTGTTGTGGGATCTCTGACTTTCTTGACAGCGCCTGCTGCATTTCAGGACCTCGGAGCAGTTCCTTCCGGGAGAGGTGGGTGGATACAGGGGGAGGCAGGGCTGGACCAGCTCCCTCCTGCCCAGGTAGCTCCCTCGTGCTGGGGACCAGCAGCAGCGGCTCAAGGTCACCTGTGGAACAGGCTGGGTCAAAGCAACAATCAGTGTTTTCTGAATGCTCCGAGGGCTCACAGGCTCTCAAGTGAGGGAGAAGAGGATGCTCTGGTATTTGCACAGGAGGAGGGTACAGTGATGCCCCACGGGACCAGCTCCAGCACTGCAAATGATCTTCCGCAGGAGCAAACCACAGTCAGGAGCTTGGAGGAGACTTGCTGGCAGCTCTGGAGCTGTGGTCCTGCCCACCATATAGAGCATTTTCTGGGTGCCAGGCGATGCAAAACATCCTTTGTAACTGCAGTTGGTCACACTGGGACATGGTGCTGAGAGCTCAGATCCTCATCAGGTGGGAGAAGTTGTTGGCCACTGTTCTTTTGCAGAAGCACCGGAATCCAACCAAAGGGAAGGGTGCATCGCAAGCAGTCCCAGTGAAGTCACCGGAGCATCTGTGGTGCCGACAGCTGAATGAGCAGACGAGAGGTGAGGCCAGAAGAAGCGAGTCCATGTGATGGGAATTACAACGCAGTTTGCCTTGGGATTTTCTAGCTGAAAGATGAGAGTTGGCCCTGCCAGCATGGTAAGGGTGTCAAAGCCAGGTTTAGCAAGTGCCCCGGGAGGCTGCGCTCTCTGCTTTGAAAAGGCTTGTGGACAAACATCTTTTTTTTTCCTGTTGCTGATACTAAAATGTTGACTCTTTAAAAGTGAGGCTTTACACAAGAAATTCTACAGTGCTGAGAGAGCAAGACGCTGTAATACACACACTCGTTTCCACGTGCACGTTCCTTCTGCGTCAAAAATCCCTTTCTCGGGCCCTGCTCCCACCAAGTGTCTCCTCGGGTACCTGCGCATCCCTGCTTCTATTTCCCAGTCCTTGCAGTGACACCTAGTGACACTTGTGGGAAGCGCAGCTTCCGTTTTGCTTCCTCAGGATCCGCGCAACTGCGGTAACTCGCTGTAGGGTTTCAGGGTGATGCACCGCACCCCAACGCGTTCATCGCTGCGCTGGGGGATGACACACAGTTTGAGCCCACGGTATGGTCAAACACCTTATGTACTGAGGCACAAAGTTACTTTGCTCTTTCCTCCTCCTGTGTACACGTTCAGAATTACACCATTACTGAAAATCTTGTCCCTGCAGCAGCCCACGTGAAGCTGCGTCTTGACTTCGACGCAGACAAACCAAACTCCTGCGGGAGCTTAACCCCCACGCTTTTAATATTTGATATTCCGGAGCTTACCAAAAAGTCACTCAAGATTTGGGCCACCCATTGCTCTGCATCAATCCTGAGTGGGTGTGAAGTATTCCCTCACCAGCACGTGGGGTTTTCCAGCCGAGATGGAAAACGTATGCCTACGGTGCGGGAAGGAGGCTAAAGACTTCAAAGAGCTTCCTCCTCCGGGCGAGCGCTCGCATGCGACAGCTCTCGAGCGTGTAACCTCTTCTTTCCCAACGCATAGAACCAAGTGGCTTCCGTAAAGGTTTCTGCTGGTAGGGATGTGGATTTCAGCTGTGCGCACGGTACGGCAACCAGTACAAAGCGGGCTCGTAAATATTTGGAAAAAATACAAAATGGCTTCAAACAGGCCAATATTAAACAACTGGAACTAGTTCAAAACAATCCTAGGCCTTTCTTGATCTGAAGTCTTCAACCTCCCAGACTAAACAGCCAATTAAATTGGATTCTGGACAGAAAGATCCGAAGCGCCAAGTGGGACACGTGAACGCTGACGGGGAAAAGATCCTGGTGTGAGCATCGCCAGGCACGCAGGTGGCAGGCCCAGCATCTCCTGGTGCCTTCCCAGGCTGCCGGTGGCTTATCATCCCTCTCATAGCCACCACTTCAGAGTTTAGAAAACAAAGGCTTAAGGGAAAAATTAATCCAAGTACACCAACAGTTCAAACATTTTACTAAATCAATTCACACAATTTCAAAATTGTAAATATAATTAAGGACAAGAGGGTTTCTGTATTTTTTTTTTCTTTCAGGTTTATCATTAAGACAATAAACAAACACAAATTAGGTTTATAGCATCTGTTCTTTTAAAAAACGAAAGGAACGCCACTCAATGTATTGATAAAGCACCACAACACAGTTACAAAATAGGGTCGGCCTGTTTCTTTCACAAGTAAAAGACTACGGACTCCTAACGGCTTTCTGCGTCGATCCATACTTCATTAAAATAAAACTATAAAATCTCCTAGATTACACTAAGTTCAGACGATGCCTGGTGTACAGTGCATTAACAGCAGTAATGCCAACTATCAGTGCCAGCGTAAAACATGTCAGAAAGTCAAAACAAAACGAACAAAAGCCCCCAAAACGAAACAGGAAAAACCCCAACAAAAAGCCCACCTTTATTCCCCTAGATGAGCAAAATGTAAAATAAGGGATGCTCTGCGTCACAATGAGTTAAGGGTCTGGGGAGGGCGATGGGCAGGAGAGGGGGCTGGTACTGTAGCTTTCTGGACTTAGTTGGCATCAAGTTTGGCCATTTCCTGCACGTATATCCCTATACTCTCGCTGTCAAAGAGCACGAAGTACACCGTCTTGATCGAAGAGGACATTGTGGACACAAAATAGCTGGAGATGGCTTTCAGGATCAGCTGAGCAGCCGTTTGCTTTGGGAAGCCGTTTCTAGGAGAGACAAAAACAAGGAGGAAAATGAAGACTCGCTGAAGAGGCTTTTGGTGGTAAAACCTTGCAGGGAACGCTTGGCCTTCCCTCTGCCACAGCACAGTAAAGCAAGCCCCAAGGCCAGTGTTTGGAGGCTGAATCAGGAGCTACACGCTCATTTGTTTAGGCAAGACTTGAAATGTTCAAAAACACTCCCAAAATATGAACAGGGTGTCCACACACAGGGAGGAGTTGAACCTTACAGTATCTGCCGGGTCAGTTACGCTCATTGACCAGACAAGTACAGCAAGGGGCAGTCAGCCCGGAGCGTTGAGGAGAGCAGCAGATGTGTTAACAGCTGGAGTCAAACCTGTCCTGAAAGCAAACCAACCATTACGGGAAAGTAAAACGGGAGTGAGAACTGGGTATAGAAAACGAAGCATGAGAAGTCACAAAGTGCAGAATGGTTTTACCACTACTCATGGTTAGTCATACGGCACAAAATTTTAAAAGTTCGGTGTACAGCCTTACTGCAGTCTGGAGAGGAGGAGAATGAGTTTGGGTAGTTTGGGAGTGAGACACCACCGGCAACACCCTCACATTTCCGGCGTGGCAGAAACAACGACGCTGAGTGGGGTGCAGCCCTGTCCAGGCGGGGGCAGGCGTCTTGCTGGCCTTGGGAAGCCAAAGCCGGTGGGTCAGGTCTGAGGACAGACCGAAGGGACTCGATGGCTTGCCTAAGCCATGCTCAGCAACGCTTCCACACTGCCTGCACCCTTGTTAGCTGTGGGCTGATTACGTACAGTCCTAAGGAGACGATCCCAAAAGACACCTGCTTGGTAGTAACCGGAGAGATCCGAGACCCAGAGACCTTTCTGATCCTCCAGCAATGCCCTAAGAAGAGGGTCCTGCCTCCTTCTGGAGAAGCCACAGACAAACAGCACAAACCGTGCTGCTTTCTCAGGTGACAGCACGGAATTTCAAAGCTCAGTGCCTACAAGCTTTTTCACATTTTTACCTACCAGCCCTTGGCTGAAAGTTCAGTCTAAGAACAGGCCAAGCCCAAGTACAACGGTCTGAACACAGCCGTGACCCGAACCGTGAGTTTTACAGCTCGTGGCAAACTCCTGAAATTACACCTGAAACTACTCTCAGTGTGGCCCAAGCCCTGCTGCGGTATCGCTCCCGAATCCTGCCGCCCACCCCGGCTGCGGTTCCACCCTCATCTGAGCACTCCCGAGACACTCGGAGGTGACGGGACACCATCGCTCTGTACTGACCTGTGGGTCAAACTGAGCGGGAAAGAGCTGGTTGAACATCACCTGGTTGCCTGACGCACCCTTACAGACACCCGACGGCCAACTCTCCCTGCTGGAAGTGCGTACTACTAACATACTCATAACTTACAAATCGCACAGATGGCTGAGTTTCTCTGTTTCCGCAGCAATTGGAAGAAGCTGGGCTAAATTCACCTCTGGCCCTGACGGGTGCAACATCACTGAGCGCCTGCTCACCGAAGCACCAAACTCTGCTAATAAAACGCTGTTGTACTCTCCCCCTCATTACATGCTGCAAGACACAGAATGAGAAAAGGCAACGGCCTGTGTCACGGCCTGCTTACTGCACATTACCTTCTTGTCAAATGTACCCCCAGAGCGATTCCGTGGTGGTGCTGCCTGTAATGGGATATTATACATGCTGCCTGCAGAGAATGCTTGTGGGATTTCAAAAATGATGACATGAAATAGCTCATGCTGTTTCATCCTTTTCAGAAAACACCCAATGTTTTCTTTTACTGAAGAAGGGGAAAAAAAAATTGTGAAAAACCTTGTCCTCTTCCAAAGGCAAATGGGCTGGTTGGGAGAATCGGCTGTGTGACAAGTTCATCAACGCAGCAGTTTTGACACGGCGCTGCCTCCTACTGTCAGCGTCCACAGAGCAAAGGATGCACCCAGCGTGCCTCCACATCCGATTCCTTCCTAGCTACGGAGGAGTGCTGCGTCCTGGCACACACTGAGCACATCTCTGAGGAATTTTACTCCCGAGCAGGAATTGTCACATGGGCCAGCATCACAGCCAGGCCGCGCACCCTTTCTCACGGCTCCCAGGGGATGCTGAAGCCATACAACCCCCACTCCGGCAGCATTCCGGCAGGGCACAACAGGGCAAACGCAAGAGCAGCCTGGCCAAGGGGAGGCACGCTCCGAGGGAAGGCAATTAAAGTAAATCGGTTGGGACCACCGTGCCAACAAAAGGAAAGGGATGGAGTAGAAAGATGAGAAGTAGGATGCTGCCCTGTGTGGGCTGCAACAAGACACAGAAGCCTCTTGCGCTGGTCAGAGGTAAACCCTTGTGTCTGTTAGCCAAGGTGGTGTCAATCCAGATCAAAGTCAGGGCCTCGGAGTGAGATCCTACTCTGAGGACGATTTCCTATCCACCCCTAACTCTGCTTCCCCTGTTCTCCTGCAGCCCCGCCGTCAGAACTCTGGGCCACCTCTACAGCACCCAACTTGCGCTTTCCACCAGTTGGCTGTAGCTGAGCATCTGGCCCACCGAAGGGCTACAAGCACGCTATTTTATTTCCCCTCGTGATTTATTTGAACTGCCCTCATGTAATCCCATTCCTCAACTATAAAAGCGAATGAAGCTGTTTATGTGGCTTTATTGGGTGATGTCTGCTTGACAGATGTCTGTGCTGCAGCAGCTGCGTGCACGTGGTGTCTTTGGCATTTGCTGTCTTTCAAAGCTTTGTTTTTATTATCTTTTAACGCTTCTGACTTCATAAAACCAAGCAAAGGAGCATTGTCAGAATATATTCTGTTCTCTCCAGAAGTAATTTATGCTGGGCTATCTCTAATTAAGAGAAAAAAAGGGAAAATACACAACCTCATTTATTTCTCCAGGCCTGTTGATCCCTCTCCACCTCTTAAAAGCACCACTTCAACTGGCCTGGAGGGGATGACGTGCACACGCCAAGCTGAGATCTTCCCACAGACCCTGTCTGTCAGTAACCAGATTTCCTAACGGACTGCGAATCTCACGGTCGCTCAGGGTTTCATCATCTCCCAGCACCAACCAACTGCTTCGCACCAAGGGCCGGGAATGGTTCTTGGCTGGGAGCTATCCCGAACAGAGGGGGCTGTGCGGGAGGTCTCGCTTCAGGCTCCTACACTACCAATTCCATGGTCACTCTACAGTCCGTGGAGGGATTCAGCTCTCCCGAAGAGCAACTCGGAGCTGCTCTTTGTACCGACTAGCCTGTGAACCCGTTCAACTCAGTATGAACCCTCCGCTGTATTTCTTTACTGTTCCACCAATTTTGCTCATTGCCTCCTCAAAATGACCTCTGTGCAAATTATCCTTAATTGGAGCTTTGTCTGATGCGAGTTGCTTAAATTTATTACCCTGGTGAAACTTGTATTTCTTTACTGTCATTCACCTAAAAGCTCAAATAATGCTTTCTGCCCTAAGCCACGGAAAATGCAGGAATTAATCTGGTGTTGCAACAGGGCACAGTGGGACGAA